ACACCATTGATTAGATTGAAGTTGTATACTATCGATAGCTCCAGCACAGACAGATTGTGGGCCATATTGAGCTTGTATGGGAACCCAACTGAGAATGATTTCATAGACATCTAGAACGAGATAATGAAAGAAACAAAATAAAACACATAATATACACTAACTAGGACTTGAAAGGATAATACCACTCTTTGTCATACCAGTTGGAACGCTACTAACTAAATCAGTAATAGCATGTCCAGGACAATAAACTTGTACGATGATATATTGAGTAACATTAGAACCGATTGGTGTACCAATACAAGCTAAAATGGAGTAAAACGATTGCATATCTGGAAAGAATGAAGAATAAAGTTATATATAATTTACCTCGGTTTGGCAGATTACCAATGATAGCAGGTGGAGTAGTACAACTAGCGGTAGGTGCAGGATAACCATAGAAAAGAAACTGTATTGGCACAGAACTCATTGGTGTTGTAGATGTACTACTATAAAAATCTTCAATTTGTAATGCTGCTGCAGCGTACTGTCCGAGATTTTGAAGCATAAATACAATTGTGCAATTCTCCGAAATAAGATTATAAACATTAGGAACACCATTACATACGCCATCACATTCATCGTAATTGTTAATATTACCTGATGAACTTGCCCATCGACATTTTAATATATCGGTTCCATCATTGTCAGACATTTGAACAACATGTACTTGTTGAATATTAATTTGTTTGTAAATAATAGGAAGACTGACAGCAACAGGGCTGGTATTTATGTAACCATCGGGTCTAATATTAGTGTTGATTTGACAGACAACACTCCATCCTAGGCTGTTACCACGAAAAAGATTTGAAAACCAATTACCATTCACAAAACCAATACTAAATGAGACATTTAATGGAAATGTTTGCGTTTCATAATGTTCACCAGAGCTAACAACTAGTGCAGCACTAAAATCCGTACAGTTTACTACTGCATCCATATTAATCCAACTACCACAATGACCATAAACACATGTGATATAATAGCTACCTGGGACTCCGACATTACCATGTGCAGCTATGGTCGCAGCAGTACAGGCATAAGTAATACGATTCCATGACCATCGTTCACGCACTTGAACTGCAACTGTACTGCCGGATGGAGTATTGTTCAAAGGACGCCTATAGAAAAGAATAATAAAAAGATCTATTAGTAAAAGACTATATATATATATATATATTATGTACCATGTCATTGTACCACCACGAAAATGAGTACCATATATAATAGTACTAAAATCTACTAACAAGATTATAAGCAATCGCATGATCAACATCATCTATGTAGCAAAAGAATGAAATAACTACAAAAAATTGTGGTTTAAATACTATAGCTGCTGAGACTTCTTTTTTTTATTTGCGCATTTTTAATAAAATAGAGCAATGGAAGGAAAAGAAGTGGCACGATTTCAAAAAACAAAAACTCTATTTTGAGATATAAACGACTGCCTAAAATAAATACAAACATCGTTCTTTTTTTAAAAAACTCGTAAAAACGTTTTCTCCTATTGATGAATTTACGTGAAAAAGGAACAGAACTAATGCACAGCTTATATGTTTTGGCCTCTTTTCAATGATTAACATGAGAATTTTTTCATTTATTTGTCTCCAAAATCTTTCTTAGTTACATATTGAAATGATTGCATTCGTCTACCTGTAAGAATTTTGTTTTGATACCAAAAAAGAAATAATAATTCAGTGCATAAGTTTTTACTTTCTTCCATTTTTTTCTCTACAATTAATAAATCGACTTTTGATCACGTATTCTATTCTAAATGACAAGTATTTGAAATAATATCATATAGATTTAACTGAAAAATATTTAAAATCAACCTTATATATTTATCTATAGCTCTTAATAATTCGAAAAATGTATTTTAACTGGAAACTAGTTTTCAGTAGGGGTGATAAGTTATTGTTATATCGTTGTTATAAATAACAATAACAATAACTAAAAAGTTATTATTATTTGTAACAATAACTATTTTTTGTTATTGTTATTTATAATAATAACCTTTTTATGATAGTTATTTGTTATAAATAACAGGTAAATAATAAATAACTTTTTTTTCTGACAATTCTACTAGCTTCATATCTTGATTGAACCATCTAAATCAGCAGTAGAGATATAGAAAATTCGCTCCAAAATGTAAGTTTGCATAACGGACACAATTAAAATATACAATGAGGTGAGAAAAGATATTTTTCAAAAATATAAGTTATTTATAACAATAACAATAACAATAAATTCTCACCGCTAGTTTTTAGAATGAAATCAGAGGTAATAGTAATAAAGAAGTGATGATGGTTGTATTGTCATGACAGGTTATTACATTTTACTGTATAATATTAATTAAGAATAATCTCAAACATCCAGATTTGATAAACTTCAAGTTCCTCTCAATAAGACTATTCGATTAGTGAAATGTATGTATTTTAAAGATTTCTCAAAACCAAAGATTGTGTGTTTTATGTGATTTTGTTTTCTTCACATACTCAATATGTGATGTTTGATGCTGTTGCATAAATCTTCAATAGTATCAGCAGTATATGAATTATTTGTTTTAGCTTTTATTTTCTTATTA